CATAGGCGCCCGCCACAACGCCCGGCTATTTTTTGGTTGCAGCTGTCATTGTTGTTTGGCGGTCCGGGCGGAATTCGAATCCGCCACCTTAAGGGTATTTGGCTGGTGCCTTAACCACTTGAGCCACAGGCGCTGAGCCTTGTCTCACTCTTATTCTCTGCTTTTCATTCTTTTTCTCTTGCTTCATACCCCTGACACAGATTCTGCTTGCATACCTATACACATATACAGCTCACTCCTTATAAGGCAGACTTTTCACCTTGAACAGGTTTTTCCTTACATGGAGCCAAATCTGCCTTTCGTAGCTTCCCTCTACAGCTCCAGTCCTGGTCTACAAGGCCACGAAGAACACAACCAATTCCTCTGCCCTAAACCCTTCAAAAGCCTGAATGTTCCTGTCATGCTTTCCATTTATCTACTCCTCTCCTGTCTCAGCAACTCCTAGTCTCTTAGCTATCTCTCATACACCTAAGTTTCCAGGTCCCTCCTCATTCTTGTCATCTCTGCTGGACGTACACCAGTATACCTGGGTCCTTGTCATACCATAGGGCTCCACGCTGATCAATACTCTAGCTCTGGGCTAGGATCCCATCACAGAGAATCCATCACCTCCTTTGTTCTATACGGCATACCTCTCCAATATGTGCATTTATTATAAGCAGTATACAGCTCAGTTAATTTTTTGGAGGCTAAAAGTATTTTAATTTTATTTAAATAAATAAATTTATTTGAGACAGAGTCTCAAGCTGTCAACCTGGGTAGAGTACCATGGCATCACAGCTTACAGCAACTTCAAACTCTTGGGCTTAAGCAATCCCCTTGCCTCAGCCTCCCAAGTAGCTGCCTACAGGTGTGTGCCACTACACCCTGCTAATTTTTCTATTTTTAGTAGAGATGGGTCTAGCTCTTCCTGGCGTTGGTCTCCAACTCCTGAGCTCCAGCAATCCACCCACTTTGGCCTCGTAGAGTGCTAGAATTACAGGTGTGAACCACCGCACCTGGCCCAGACCGTAAATTTGAGATAATATCTAGGTCACAGCATTATTGAAGAGTCCCATACACGAAAGGCTCTCTCATACTGCACCTGGCTTAATGTCAGCATTCCATATTTTTTCCACTGGATCCCCAATCTGGTGGCAAAATATGTGTGAGGGTTATAAAATGTCAGAGAATATTAATGAACAGAATTGATCATCAGGGGTCAATTCATCACCAAGACCTTAAAGAAAAATAAACCTCAGGGCAACGCTTTCACCTAATAACTTCTAAATGGACGGAATCAGCTGTAATAATAGGGCGTGTTAAATACTGAAGGGGGGAGGGTTCCATTTTAGAAAGAGTTCCCGCATCTCTTCAACCACCCTGAGCCCCGACCGAGTCTGCCTTTGTCCCCGGAGCCACCCAGAGTTTGAGCTCCCAGGCAGCTGCGCAGGAGAAGATAACCTTCTCTACTTCATCCCAGGCAGGAAGGCGTCTTCGCTGGCCCCAGCGCCCTGCGGTCGCAGAGAACCAAGACGACCAGTCTCTCTCCTGGCTCGGGCTTTTCATCCGAACGTGTACACAGGAACTTGGTCTTTTACGACTGCATCCCTTGATCCGCGACCCTTCCACATTAGAGACTTCGTCGGAAGAGCTTAGCACTTCCTTTTTTTTTTGCAGAAAGGTGATTATAAACTTGGACCTGGAGTCTGCAAGCTTATTGGACTTGAGGCACAAGAGTGCGGAGCCAAGCGCCAGAATTGGAAGTCCAGGTCCGCTACCCGAACTCCTGCGTTTCCAGAAGCACTGTCAGCTAGACTGGAACTGGGGCGGGTTCCGACTTAACTGTCATCAGATGGATGGCGTTTTTATTCACCGTTTTTGGCCTGGATTTTGGCCTAATTCAACGCAGACAGCTTCGTGGAATCTTTTTCAACACCCGAGAGGTGGGAGTTCAACCACTGATCCACGGATCGGTGGATTCCACGAAAAGAGCCTACTTCAGAAGGGCCGGCGGCTGTGAGGGTACGTAACACCCGCGGAACCAACCAATGGCAGTACGGACTGTCGGCCAGGGACGCACCCAGACATCAGGCAGTCATGATTGTGATTGGAGGAATTAGGCGGAAAACCCTCTTGCCTCAACCACAATGGGTTTTGATTGGCTCTACCAAACAGTAGTTTTTCTATAGTCCAAACCTAGAGCAGTTTAGCGATAAATCCCGCCTTAAAAGGTGTTCAATAACAGTTTTACGTGTTGTAAGGCAAACGCTGATTGGTCAGAGAGCTCGCTAATTCAGTCGGTAGTAAACATAACCAGGCTCCTGGGACCGTAGATTGGCCAGTTTTCTGGGGGCCGGAGTGAATTCCTCCTGGTTCCGCGCACCAACTGGCTGCACTCTGCCTAGCCCCGCCCTCTACTTTGACGATTGGTTGAAACCCGGGAGGAGGAATGGAGCGAAGCAAGCGAGCTTACCACGCGTCACTTCCGTTTGTCGGCCGCGACTGCCGTGTTCCTAGAGTACCGCGGCTGACGGGCTGAAGGAGCTAAGAGACTAGAGGAGGGGTGGGCGGGGGGTGGGCGAAAGGGGGAGGAAATCCCAACTCAGAGACACCGGTCTGGACATTTCCACCTCCTCCGACACTGTCGGGTTGGATCGGAGAAGGGTCACCGCCTCCTTCAGCAGGAAGAGGGGGGCGGAGCCCAGCTCAGGTGAGGATACACCGTACACCGGAGTGGTGATGGTGCACGCGCGGGCGCGCTCACGTGGAGACGGTTGAGCCCCAGGGTCGAGCCAAGGCGTTACGGAGCGTGCGGACGTGTACTGGGGGCCCCAGCCCACCCTGAGTGTCTTTCTGTGGGGTTATTGTTACCCTTCCGAGTCGAGAGGCCAGGCGGGTGGGAGGCGAATTCTTCTGCGCAGGCGTTCCCGGTGTCCCGACGCCAGGCTGTCTGTCTACGGGGTGGGGCGGGGGCTGGTACCCATGCAGAATCTCGGCCTGGTACGGGGTGGGAAAGGTCTGGCAAGATGAATAGCGGATCTGCTGCCCTGCGGGATGAGATCGGATGGCTCCCTTACTCCCATCCTGGGTCTTGAGAGACGAGGTTTTATTTCACCAGAGCAAGGCCACGGACGGTCTACTGTCGGGAGCCGTCGGCAGATCCTGGAGAGGTGGAGTCAGTGTTTTGGAATGCCCCAACTTGTTATAAGGGGACTAAAGTGTCTAATAGGCTTTTATCGAATGCCCTCTACTTCCAGGCTTCGTGTAGAGGACACGGTCGTAAGACATAGAGGTTCCATCTTCGTTCCCTGTTTGGAGGACATACAGATTTGTACATAAATACTAATAAAAGGCAGTGAGTTAAGGGGAGTTGATGGTTAGCTTTTTCTTTGAAAATGGCCATTTATTATTAAGATATTCTGCATTCTGGCATGGTGGAGGGTATTGTAGAAGCTAATTTCTGAGTAGAAGACAAATCCTAAGTAATTTGCAAGGAAAATTTTAGGTAAGGGTACATTAGTATCTTGATTACTAAGTAGTGTGCTCTGTTTCTTGTTAATTTGAATAAACAGAAGAAATTTCACCTCGAAGAATTGAAGCACAGGCATTTCTAAAATATATTAATGTATTTTCCAGTTGTATTAAGTAGATGATGTTATACATATTCGGATCTTTTTTTGGCGATTGAAGAGAATGCTGTACCTTAGCTATCCTTGGTGATTTGTTGGCCTTGTATGGGCTGTTGTACTTTAGATAATTTTTTAGATAAAAGGTGGGCTAGGCTCCTAATGGTCTTTCTGGAGAACTTGTTTTTTTATTTGCCTCAAGTCTTGTCATTTCCATGGTGAGGGTGGTTGGCATTAAGCTGAAAGAGTGAAGAGGGAAGAGATGAAATGGGAGAAAGAGAAGGAATTTTAGAGAAAAGTCCCTAAACCAGGTGAAGGTCTTCCACTATTCCTATAACCCTTCTGGAAATCTCAGCAAACTTGGGAAGACTCACCTGGCCACTGCAGCTAGCTTGGTGACCTTAACAGGTAAGACTGACTCATTGAGTGGGAAGCTGTTCTGGGCCCTTGGGTTTTGTGGAACACATTGACCAGGACTTTTTGAAGAGTTCTGAAGTTAACTTGTTTTCTGGAGATTTGCCTTTTTCCTTCTGAAAAGTTGTGTCAAAATACAACTTAGTTGGGGATGATGCTGGCAGTCTGGATTCTGGTTAATTGATGTGTCTCTAGCAAAATTCTGAAAGGGATAAGATTTCGAGGAAAAACATCTTGTAGGGCTGTGTTTTCCTACATCTCTAGGGGTCAGCACCTTCAAAAGAGACTTTGTGGCTCATGCCTATAATCCTAGCATTCTGGGGGGCCAAGGCGGCTGGATTGCTTAAACTCAGGAATTTGAGACCAGCCTGAGCAAGAGGAAACCCCATGTCTACTAAAAGTAGAAAAACTAGCTGGACATTGTGGTGGGTGCCTGTTGTTCCAGCTACTCGGGTGGCTGAGGCAAGAGGATCCGCTTGAGGCCAAGAGTTTGAGGTTGCTGTGAGCTGTGATGATACTATGGCATTCTACCCAGAGCAACAAAGTGAAACTCTGTCTCAAAAAAAAAAAGAAAGAAAGAAAGAAAGAAAAAAGACTGTCACAAGAAATGGAAGTAATAAAAAAACTCATTTGGATACCAAAATTCGTGTCAGTGTTCTAGAATTTAATGTACTTAGCATAAGACAGGGCCCCATGGCTGAAGCCTGTAATCCGACTGGGCTGGGGGGCTGAGGCAGGAGGATTTTGAGGCCAGGAGACCAGCCTGGGCAACGTAGCAAAATGCCTATCTCTACATAAACATTTTTAAAAATCTAGGCAGTAATGGCAGATTTTTAAATAATCCTAACTAGTCAGGAAGCTGAGATAGGAGGATTGCATGAGCCCAGGAATTCAAGACCAGCCTGGGCAATGACAAAATCTTGTCTCTACAAATTTATTTTTAATTAGCTGAGTGTGGTGAGGTGCACCTGTAGTCCCAGCTACTGGGGAGACTAAGGCTTCAGTCTAGGAGTTTGAGGTTGCAATAAGCTATTAGAACACCACTGCAGTC